AAGAGGCTAGAATCAGAGTGTTTCACATGGAAGGATGTAGTCCAGCAACTTTATACATGGGCCGCAGAGCAGTCAAGAGTTTTGCCCAAGGTCATGGAAGGCATCGATGGCAGAGTCATGACCGTAAACAAAGCCCAGCCGGGTGCTCTTTCTGTGACATATCACACTACCTCGAAAGCGTTATCCAGTTTGAAGATTCTTTCAAACAGCCCTTATAAATGCTTCTATGTGTCTAGTGCTTGACTGGGCACTATTGAAATCAAAGTCATTTAGAATGAGCCCCTTGCCTACCATTTAAAACATGGGCCAGCAACGAGGATACATACAAAGGCATGAATATATATGTATGTCTACGTACATAATTTATATCACATATATATGCATAAATACATGCACACCTGCCCAACAGAGAAAGAAAAGGGAAAGGAGGCTAAAAAGAGAAGGCGACTAAAGGTAGGAAGCAGTCCAGCTCACCACAGCTTCTATGACCCCATCTCAGCCATATCTTTCTTCTCAGATATCCTTTGGTGACTTTTAGGAAACTAGTTGCATAACCATGATACAGGTTTCCTGACTCCATATCCAGGGCCCTTTCCATTATAGCAGGGGTGGGGAACCTGTGGCCTCAAAGCCACACGTGGCCTACTCCTGCACTATACCTTACTGTATCTCACAACAAAATGATCTCCAAAGCTCATTTTACAGCTGCAAAATTCTATAAAACCTACTACAGTATCTTTTTTTGCACTCTCTAAATACAAACCCCTACAGCAAATATTCTCTTTCTCACTGAAGAACATAATTATACACTATCTTGAATTGTTTTCTAATTGTTTCATGTGCATAATAAAATGGCTGGACCATGTCTCAACTTCCTTTGTACCCCTCCATAGCACCTACCTTAGGACTCTGCTCACAGTAGGCCCTTAATGCATGTTTATTGAAGGAAGGAATGAACCAATGTATGTCTTGTCTCCCCAGGTAGACTTGTATCCTCTCAAATGAATGAATGAACAAATGAATAAATGATAAGTAATTGAGGTAATAGTAAAAAAAAAAAAAGGGAAAGGTTGAGGTTGAGGAAGGATAACTATGACTAAGCCAGGCTAGTTTTGAATACTACTCCACTCTGAACTTCATTAAGTAAAGCATGAAATTTAGGAAGTAGAGTATATCTGTCCCATTGGTATCAATGAAGTATGTCTGGACTGCTATCTTCCATATACAGAGTATGTGAAGGAGAGCAGTATACAGTAAGACTATAAAGCTAGGTTGGATTGTGGGAGAGAAAGGAAAGAGGGAAGGTAGGAATCTTAAATGCCAGGTTGAGGATTTAGAGGTGATAGGGAGCTATTGAAGGATCTTGAGCAGGGTACCAATATGGCTCCATGGCATATTAAATAAACAACTGGCTTCAGAGCCAGGGAGACCTGTCACACACTAAGTGTGTGACTCAGGTAAGTCACTCAACCTCTCAATGCCTACACCCAAGCAACTCTCTGACTATAAATTGCAGAGCGATTTTCCCCATCCAGAAGTTCTCTAAATCAATGAAATTACAGGTCTAGTCCATACCCAATAGTATGATCAGACATGTACATTAAGAAGATTATTTTCCTCCTTGGTCACCCCACCCTGTATTCATACCTTCTTCCTCTGAGTTCCCTCAGCTCTTACTATCTTTACTATGCATTGAACACTTATCATATACCATGTTTGTATCATCACTACATTTGTGTTCCTGTCTAATCTCCTCACCTGGACTCTAAATACTCCATAGACAGGGCCTTATCTTACTCTTCTTTGTCTCTTTCTAAGTACCCCAGAACAAAGCTGAGTATACAGTAGACAGTTACGCAAAAGTGCTTTGTCCATTGGCTAAGAGATGGTAAAAACGTCCTCAAATTTCTTTCACTTGACTGGTGATTAAACCTTGGACACTGTGCTGGATTACGACAGAAGCTTAATGTATTCCCAGCAGTAGCTTTAAAAAAATTCTAGTAGTAGGTTTTATAGAATTTTGCAGCTGTAGAATGAGCTTTGGAGATCATCGCATTGTGAGATACAATAAGAAGTAATGGGAAGGGCCCTAGCTATGCAGTCAGGAAAGCTGGGTTCTAACACTTAGTCAACTATGTGACTGTGGACATAACACTGAACTTCTTGGAGGCCTGTCTTCAACAACTATAAAATGGAGACCATAATACTTGTATTGCCCAAGGGTAAAAGGGCTGCTATAAGAATACCACTTTGTAAACTTAAGCGTTATAGAAAGTTAAGTTATCATTCTAATATACTCCAAATCCCTTATTTTGCAGATAAGGAAACCAATGAGAATGGAAAGGATTTTTTCAGTGCTGTATAGTTAAAGCAATATCCTCACATCTTACAAGCCTGGCACACACTAAATGTTCAAGAAATATTGACTGATTTATTGACATTATATGACATTATTTAACTCCTTTTGTGTGTGTACCCTTTGTGTCAGAGAATCCCTCCTGTCAGCCTGTCCCATTGCCTTCACTCAAATGATCTGGGAATTTCAGTCTAATACCCTCCCAGGGACATTCACCAGCTCCCCTTACAAGTACATAGATCCACAAGACTCAAAATAGAGACAATTTTATTTGAAAGTCAATGGAGATAAACAGGAATCATATCTCTAAGCCCATAAAAAATAATGAAACTTATCAATGAGCAATCTTCTCTCCCCTAACCCCAGCTATCTGTATAGTTTCTATGATTTGGAAAAGTGGTATCAAATTCAAATAGGACCATCTGCTAAATCATGCACAAGGATCCCTGCTGCCACATATTAATTAACATCTATGTTGTGTTTCATTTTTATTTTATTAAACATTTCTCAATTGTATTTTAATCTGATTCAGACCAGACTTGCAGCCCAGTGTTTGACATCTCCGACTTAGAGTATTTGCCCCAGGTATAACTCCAACAGAGAGCAGTCAGGATTGGCTGGAGCACATTGGGGCTCTCCTCCAACCCTCCTCTGTTTGCTCAACATTGCTTGCTTCCTGAAACTCTCATCTCCTATTTCTCCCTGTTGCTCTCCTCAATAATTCTCCTTCCTGTAGCTCTCCTTCCCAAATCTCTCTACTCCAAACAGAAAGCCAGCCTTGTTCACTGTCCAAGGCCATTCTGTCCCCAAAAGATTTTTCAGACCCCAAAAGATCCCACTTGTTGCTTTACCAGGAGACTAGTATTTAAACAACTGGTCTGTGTAGGAAGAACCTCCCAGTGGATTTACTACTCAGAATGTACCTACATCCTTCTCAAGCCTTCTTTTTCATATAGCTCCCAGAAGCCCAGACTCATATTCAAGAGGTATGTTGGGGCTATAGAATGCTCTCTTCTCCTATCTCAGTATTAAGACTTACTAACACCATAGAGGTTCATAGAAAACCATTGCCATTTTCCTCCTCTCTTCCTTGGGTGCCCTAGCAGTGAATTCCCAGGCAACATTAATGGTCTCTTCCTCTTCTGTCTCCTCAGTTGTTCCTTCATTGCTGTCCCTAGGGCAGCTAGACCAAGTTATTCAAATTACTTAGACCTGCTTGACAAAAAAGAAAGGGAAAGAGAGATGGCTTCTTCCAGAGTAGGCGCTTCCACATCAGCAAAAGGGAGATCAGTAGTGCCTGTTACAAAGTAGATGGACCCTCTGGAAAGATTGTGCCTACCACAGGGTAGATAGATAAACACTCAAATGATTCTTAATGGACAATTGCCTGAAGTGGATTTGTGCATCAGTCCCAAAACTGTTTTTTTAATTTTTTTGTTACTATTCTATATTTGATAAACATCATCAAGCATGAGCATTTTATATAAAATATAAAAATTTTATTATAAAAACACAGAAGCACAGAAAAAGAGTATTATACATGAAACCATAAATTTCTATTGCACATATCTTGAGGGTTCTTTAATAATATAATAAATTCAATGTGTTACTTTCAAAGCTGTCCTGCTTGTCTGTGTCTCCTTCCAAACATCATTTTATTCTTTTTCTGTGCATTCTTTTTTTTTAAATTTTTTTTTTCTGTGCATTCTTAAAAATGCTACTAGGACTCTCTTTTCTTTTTTCTTTCCTTCTTGTTTTTAACATTTCTCTCCCTAGCCCACCATTTTCCAAATCCTCCTAATATTTTTAAAACTCCTCCCTTGTAACAAATAAGAAGTCAAGCAAATAAATCCACATACCCAGCCACACAATTCTTGAAAATAATAGTCAAAGGTGGAGGAAGTCCCCTACCTGTAAAGTCTTTCCCATACTCTTACCTAATCTTTGCTAGTCAAATGCTATGGACCTTTCAAGGCTTTCTTGGATGTCACCTTCTCCATGAAGCTCTTTTTGGTCCTCCAACCAGAGTAATTCCTCCCACCTCTGAAAACCTCTGAGCACCCATTCTTGGCCCCTGTTTATGGTACTAGTCACAAAACTACCTTCTACTGTTGTTACCTGTGCCTCTGTCTTATGTCTTCTACTGAACTGTCAGCTCCTAGACGACTGGGTCCAGATCTTACTATTTTGTACTCAGGGCCCAGCATACTATGTCTTGTGCGTAGAAGGCTCACATGGAATATATTTTAAATTGAAAGGTGCCTAGATCTACCTACTCCATAGGGCAGTTGAGAGGGAAGAATTTTTTATACCTTGAAGTACTATAAAAATGGGAGCCATTATCATCATCATTTCTCAAAAACTGAAAAGTTTACCCTAAAGGGTTAACCTCTGGAACTGTTTCCACCCAGGCAAAGTCTCATTTCACAACGTGGCCCACTGGCATCTTAAGGAGGTGCCCTTCTTCCCCCTCCCTAGCCTGGCTGGGACCCACTCCCTCCAGACTCACAACAATGGCTCATTGTGGGAAGCCCATTGATGCCAATGCTGGTGTGTGGTGGGCAGTGCCCAGTCCCCGCCCACACCTCAGAGAGGAAATGTCAAGAGCTGTGCTTTTCAGCATCACAGACTGAGGGGCATCTGGCAAAGGGCCAGGGTCTCCTAGGCCCCTGGCATGGCTGAAAAACAGCAGCTTTGTTTGCAGTCTGGAAATCCTTGTCCCTGCCCTACCCAATAAAAGGATACAATACACCAGCCCAGCTGAACCACAGGAAGGTGAGGCTTCCACTGGGGAAAAGGGGCATAGAGGAGGCATTAAGGTAAGACTGAGAGCTTGGGGCACAGCACAGGATGAACCAAAGCTGCCTCCTTTAGCTTTCTCTCTGCAGGTACCACCAGCTTTCAGAGTGAGACAGACAGTAAGCTCTATGAGGGCAGGGATTTGGGCAGTATGGAATAATTAGACTTGGAGTCAAGGAAGACCTGAGTTCAAAAATTGCCTATGATGTGTACTCAATATATGACCTTGAGGATAAGAGGCTCCCAAGGGCCAGCCTTAGATTCTGGAAGACCTGGGTTCCAGTCTTACCTCTGGCTCACACTGGCTGTGTAATCCTGGGCAAGTCAGAGCCTCTCAGTGCCCCTGGCCAGCTCTCTAAGACTCTAAGTCACTGGAGAGCAGACCAACTTCTTTGGTAGGGAGAGTTAAACAACAAATGTGAGAATAATGGTATCTATAAAAGGTATTACATGGGGTGGTCATGGCTTTGTAAAATTTAAAGTACTATATAAGTTCTAGTTACTATTGAGCTAAACTTTGAATTTCTCAAAAAATCAAAAACAAAAACTCATAGAAAGTGCTTAAATATTGTAAATATTTGCTGAATTTTTTTACTTCTTATTTTATTTTATTTTATGCTGAATCCAACTGACTTTCCCAGGAATTAATCCAAGGCAAGTAATACAAAAGGCTTCACCAAGTATATGACCTTCCAATTCTCCCTGTTTTACCCCACCCCTAGGCCTCAGTTTCCCCAAATGAAGGGATTGGAGCAAATGGTTGCTGTCTCTTCCGGTTCTGTGAAACTACGGTTCCAAACTCCCTTCAGAGTAATGAGCAACCACTCTCTATGTGACCCAGAGAAGAATCATTATACATTGTGATGTTTAGTCCTAGGAAGAAGGAGATAGGAATGGCTGTTTCCCTATTGGCCAAGGAAGACCTCTCTCTCTCTCTCTCTCTCTCTCTCTCTCTCTCTCTCTCTCTCTCTCTCTCTCTCTCTCTCTCTCTCTCTCTGTCTCTCTGTCTCTCTGTCTCTCTCTCTCTTTCTCTCTTTCTCTCTTTCTTTCTCTCTCAAGAATCCCTCAGTACTCACCTGAGATTAAGGTTATTTATAAATAAATAAATAAAGTTGGACAGTCCTGACAATCAGCTAGCCTCTGTTGATCATGAATTATGCACCTAGTTTGGGAGTATGGGGAAAGCAGAAGAAGGCATAGGTGAACTGAGAACTTGTGGAAGTTATAGTCCAGTTAGAGAGACAAGGCACACAGGCATGCCAAGGTCACTAATAAAACAAGGCAAACACTGATAAGAATCAAACAAATGGCAAAGAACCAAGTGTTGGAGGAACAGGAGCATAGAGGGAGCTGTTAAGAACATCTGGTTAGGGGAAGCTTTCCAGAGGAGGTTGGATTTGAGTCATGTCTTGAAAGCTAGGTAAAATGTAAAGACGTAGAGATTAAATGAGAAGACACAGGTAAAAAGAAACAACCTTAGTCTCCTTGGGAATGATAGTATGAGATAGTGGACAACACACTGGGTTTGGAGTTAGGAAGAATTGGCTTCATTGCCTACCTCAGATGCCTACTAGCATATGAACCTAGACAAGTCACTTTAAGTCTCTGTGACTCAGTTTCCTCATTTGTAAAATGGGGGGGGTTGCCGTTGATTGTCTCTGAGGTCCCTTCCGACTCTAAATACATTATCTTTATTTCCCCATTCCATGGTCCACTCCACCCCCAACCTCCCGTCTCATTTCCATGTTTTTGCTCATGTTTTTTTTCACACCAAAATGTGCCCCCTTTTCTTCCCATCAAGCAAATCCTTCCCATAATTCAGGGCTCAGGTCAGGCCCAGACACCTGCAGGAAGCCTTCTCAGGCCACCTCTGCAAACGGGAAGGACTCCAGTCTCCAAGATCCTGGACACTTTCACATTTGTATGGCACATCTTGGCCCTTCTACGTAAAGAGTCTTGCAACAATTGTTGTGTGTGATGCCTGCCTTCTCCACCTCTCTCAGGATGAGGATTGACCCTTCCTTTTCTCCTCCTTCCCTAGCACAGGGCTGGGCCCACAGTAGGCAATCAGTAAAGACGGTGGCATGAGCCCACAGGCCCAATGAACATGGAGAAGTGTCGTCCTGCCCATAACCAACTTGCTGTGTGTCTTTAGGCAAGTTTCTGTCCCTCTCTGGGCTTTTCGTCTTTCATCCAGAATGAAAAGGCTGGGCTAGAAGGGCTCTCTGATCTTTTCAAGCTCTGTGATCATGATAGTCCGTAACCCTGCCTGAGCTTGTGTTGGAGTGTGTCAGTGGCCTGAGCCCTTTAAGGAGACACCACAGCTCTCCTTCCTAACCTGAGTCCTGGGTCCAATCCGTCCTTTGCTTTTGTCTTTTTGTTTGTCTGTTTGTTTGTTTTTAATTGGTCTGAATCAGCTTGGATGGGCAGGCACATTTTCTGTCGCTGAGGTTTTCCCCCTCCTTGTAAAAGGATGAATAATTATGTCTCTATGAACTGGAAAGAGCTCTGAGCCACGGTGCTCAGAGCCAGGGAGTCCAGACTCCCACGCAGCCCTGCAGCCAGCTGCTGTGCACCCAGCCGCAGCAGGGAGGGCCCATCCATTAGAGCATTCCCTAGGCTCAGGCTGGGGAGCCCAGATTACTGGGGCCGGTGCCCCCTTCTCTCCTCTCCAGCCAACTTCTCTGGGAAAATAAAGCTCACTCAGTCCTGAGGGCCAGCCAGCTGAAAGGAACCTCACTTAGGAACAGTGAACATTTGGATCAGGGACCACAACCAAGCCTCAGGTCTGAAAAGGGCTGAATTCATGACCTCAGAACTTTTCCAGAGTAATTTCTCCTGTGAATAGAACAGATGGGTTTCTCCTTCAGTAATGTAGAAACAGGGCAAAATCAGGCTGTTCTTGGGGATGGGAGGAGGGTAGGGAGGGGATGCTGGTTTATATCACTTGGTGATCTGAGGCTGCATTTATGTAAGGCAAAGTGAATTTAAAGTGTCTAGCTGCGTCTCCTTGGATAAGTCACTTTCCTTCTGGGCCACAGTTTATCCATAGTTCAAAAAAAGAAGGTTTGAAAAGATGATGATGATCTCTGGAGGTCCTTTCCGGCTCTGTGATTCTAATTATGAGTCTGTGTTTCTAATCTATGCTGACAGCCCCTCAGGAGAAATCAGACCCACTGTGCATGTGTTGGTCTGAATATTATGTGGAGAGTTGATCAAAGAAGCTTGATGGGGTTACAGAGAGGTGAGCTTTTGTTTAGAACTATGATTGGACCTCCCCGGGGAAGAGGGGTACTTGCCCATTAACACCTCTTTGAGAGTACTGAGGTCCTCTCCTGGGCCTGGGTACTTGTCAACCCATGCATACCTCATTGAGGATGAGCCATCATGTTGCTTTGATTGATTGAGTCACTCGTCCATTAGAGCCACCCCTTTCTATTTTATATATATATATAAAGGAACAGACAGATCGTCACTGGCCTTGGGAGAGATCCAGAGTTTGAGACTAGAAGACCTGAAAATAGATGTTGGTTCCTGGGGTACGATGGGTTATAGGCTGTGCTTCCCAAGAACCAAACTGCTCCCCCCTCCTAGCCCTAAAGCTGGTAGCCAGAGAGAGACAATAACAGAAGCTAAGTCTTGGTAGCAGTGAAGGAAACGAGAGTTCCTGGCCCTAACTATGAAGTAGTGATGGTGAAGATTCTAATCCCCAGAGGTAGGAACTGTGAAGATGAGAACCCACATGCCCAAGTGGTAGCAGTTTCTGAGTGCCAAACTTCTGCAGGAAAGTCAAGAGAAGACCAAGTATGTGGTCTCAAAACTAGAAAAGAAGCAAGGGACTGGATCATGACGAATATGACAAAATGTGGACCTTATCTTTGCCTACGTCTGAGTTATTCAAACAGAGCAGGACCAACGGAAAAAGGTACCTCTCTGCAGCAATCTCAAACTTGCTTCCTTCAAGAATGGGCATCCTCCCCCTGAGGGAAATACTATAAGATTGGAAGCCTGGCTGGATAGGTCCCTGGATATGAAAGTAGGATTTACCAGAATATGAGAGGTTGTAGCAGTTCTGAATTCATTTCCCTTAACAGTCAAGGAGGATTTATTAAGCACCTTCTGTATCTCAGGTACTATGCTAAGTCCTGGGGGTACAAAGAAAGACAGAAACAGTCCATGCCCTCAAGAAATCCACGTCCTAATGGAGGGTGAGAAAGAACAACATGAAAATAAGTAGTACATATAAAACAGACAGAGACAGACAGACAGATAGATAGATAGATAGATAGATAGATAGATAGATAGATAGACAGACAGACAGACAGACAAGTAGAGGAATATAATCTCAGAGAGGAAGGAATTAACAGCTGGGGTAAATGGGAAATGCCTCCTGCTGAAGGTAGGATGGGAACTGGGTCTTGAAGGAAGTTAAGGAAGATCCAATGAAAAGACATGGAGACAGGAAATGAAGAGTGGTATACAAAGAACGTCGAAGAGGCCAGGGTGGCTGGACCACAAAGTACAGAGTGAGAAGTAAATTATAAGAAGACTAGAAAGGCAGAAAAGGGCCAGATTATGAAGAACTTCAAATGCCAAATAGAAGAGTTACTATTTGATCCTGGATGTCATAGGGAGACAGGGGAGCTCATAGAGTGTTACGGAGTCCGACCTACTCCTAAAAAATTACCTTGGCAGTTGAGTGAAAGGTGGATTAGAAGGGAGACGTTTGAGGCAGTGAGGCCTGTTAGAAACTATTGCAATAGTCCAAGAAAGATATAATAAAGGCCTGAATTCAAGTGCTGACTCTTTGAGTGTAGAGAAGAGGATATATACAAAAGATGCTGTGAAGCTAGAAATAAGGTTTGGCAATGGATTGGATACATGAGGTGAAAGAGAACAAAATTTCAAGGCTTGGGTCACTGGGAAGATGATGATGCCCTGGACAGTAATAGATTAGTTCAAAAAAGAAGTTCCTG